AAAAGCAAAAAAAAAAAAAAAAAAAAATATATATATATATATATATATATGTTTACCTCTTGCTAGGGAAACACCAAGGAGAATGACTAACTCTGCCCAGGGGTATCAGGGAGGACTTCAGGGAAGAGGCGATATTGGAGATGGGCCCTGAAGGATGAGTAGAATTTATCAAGAAAAGAAAGAATACTGCAGGTAGAGGGAACAGCAAAGGCATGGAGTTAGGTAAAGCCACAGCAATGTCCAGGGAACAGCAAAGAGGAAATTTTTTAGAACAGGGCTCTCAAAGCTGACCAGGTATAAAATCACCTGGAAGTCAATGTACAACCCTGGACACTGTGGAATATTACACTCAGTTTGATATATAAGTTCCATGTTAAATCATCTATCTTCAAAATATTAATTTCTACAACAAACAAATGGTAGCAGAGAAGACTGAAGGAAAATGTACAGGATAACAAACAAAATGGGGGGGAGGACTTGTTTTTTTGCCATAAAACAGCTAGGTTTCCATTAAAGAATTACTGAGTACCAGGTATGGTGCAAGGAATTCAGGACCTAAGTGTGAATAAGACAGGCAGGATCCCTGTCCTTCTGGAGCTTACAGGTTGGTGGGGAAACAAGGTTATCATACTTACTTGTATTGATATGATAAGTGTTAACACACGTATTGGGAAACCTACAGCAGAGAAACTCAACCTGTTTAGGGAGTCCAGGAAGGCTGCTCATAAGTGTCTCAAGAGCACAGACTATGATTCTCAGGGGTTAATGCAGTGGGTAAAGGGCAGAAAGGAAGAAGGGAGCAGCTGCACAAGAGGCTGGGAACTACATCAACATGATTTCTGCACAGAGCTCCAAAATACAGTGAAGCAGAGGGAGAAGCTCAGACCTGAAGGCTATGTTCAAATGACCAGTTTTTTACAAACTAAGGCTGCTATAAAATTATTGTCAACCAAGCTCCAATTTGATGTAATCTGTATAGTCACTCCAAAAGATTTCCAGTCCTAATTCTACAAATAAAGTGGACTGAATTTACAAGTGTAGCACTTACTCAATTTGGAGGTACGGAATCTGATCAAAACAGAGGGGGCTGACTGTTCAACAGGATATAAGTGAAACAGGGGAAAAGAAGAACTGCCTCTCCTAGCATAAGGGTATAAAGGACATAAGAGTTAAAAAATGGGCCAAGGAAAAGCAAAATTAGGGGGAAAATTCCAAAAAAGAATAACTTGAATAAAGGGATTAACTGTAGTGACTGAGAAAGAAATTGGGGGAAAGACAGGTTAAATTAAAAAACAAAAACAAAAAAGGGATCACATTCTTGGCTCCTGGCTTTAAGGAATGAGGGTAAAGTAGCTGTTGAAAACCTTGAAGAAAGGCAACCCACCCGCCCCCGTGTGCCCCCGGAAGTGCTGGGTCCTGGCTCCGGAACTCCATTCCCAGCAGGCCACAGTGTTGTCAAAGGAGCCTGTCACAAGCTTCTGCTCATCAAACTTCACCGCTGCACAAGTGTGGGTCTGGATGCCATAAACACACTGCCCTGTGCTCACATCCCATAGTTTTGCAGACAAGTCATCTGACCCTTCAAGAGAAAAACAGGGAGGTTAGTAAGAAAACAAACACTAAAGAAGGAAAATCAATTCCCCAAACCATGGTATTCTTAAAGGAGAACATTAACAGTCACCTCCTCTAGCACTCTCACTTAATAGCTGGGAAAACCAAAGCATGGAGACAGTAACACAACTTGCTCTGGGTCACCAGAATACTGTTAACAGCCCTGGGACTGAATCCAAGCCTTTTGGTTTAGTCCTTTTCCCTTAACTTTCCAGGTTATAGCGTGGTGTTAGACTAAAGCACCCCTTGGTGCTTCCACTTGTAAATTTTCCCAAATCTTTGGCTATCATGAGCTCTCTGATTTAAGCTTAAAATGGTGGGTACCACCTATGACTGGATGCGTACACTTGCATGCCTGTCCACTACCCAACAATTCTGAACAAATAAAGAATGGTGAATAGTAAAGTTGTCTGCTGGAACATGTTCTACTCTAAGGCAAATCATAGATAAGCCTCCAATCACTGGTTAACTTCTGCAAAGGCTAATTGCTAATTTCTTGAGCCATCTTGAAATATGTGAAGGAACTTCAAAGAAAACTAGACATAAATTATTCTCAGACATTCACAACAACTCAACAAAGAGCTTGTAAAGCCTCTTAAGAGTCTGCAGAAAAGAGGGTAGGTTTTACTTCTGCCTCTGATGAAAATATTATACTGATTATGGTGACAATTCAGGACTTTGTCTTAATCACATTTAAAATCCTAACGATGAACTCATGTCTCACAATTTACCTGTATAAAAGTAACAATAAGAACTGACAAAGAGGGAATTCCCTGGCGGTCCAATGGTTAGGACTCTGCGCTTCCACTGCAGGGAGAACAGGTTCGATCCCTCATCAGGGAACTAAGATACCGCATGCTGCACAGAGCAGCCAAAAAAAAAAACAAGAACTGACAAAGAAAAAAACATTCTGAAGCTACAAAAATGTAGTCCCTGTAATAAGGACATGGTATCTTGGAAAAGCACCAACTGATCATTTTTCTAAAAGCTTAAATGACTAAATAAAGTTAGCCACAATGCCAACTTTAAGGGTTGATCAAGAGCCACTGTTTCAGACAACGGAAAAATAGCTATCAGTTATGAAAGAGGCAGAGTATGAATTTCAACTGGGGCAAACCCTATGAGAGCATACTGAAATGAAGACTATATTTGTTGTTATTTTACTATTTAAGGATTCAGTTTCCTCTCTATAAAATGAAAGGCGAGATTTGGCTGGTGGTTCTCAATGGGCATATGAGGCATCAGAATCATCTGCTGAGCTTTATCAAAACACACGTGCAGGACCCTATCTTCAGAGATTCTAACTTAGAGCATCTGAGGTAGGATCTAATTACTGTAAAAGCTTGCCAGGTGATTCTAATGTATTAGCAATGCATTGAGAACCAATGATCTAGAACAATACCATCCAATAGAAATATAAGGCAAGACACATACACAATTTAAATTTTTCTAATATCTACTTTAAAAAGTAAAAAAAAAAGGGGACTTCCCTGGTGGCGCAGTGGTTAAGAATCCGCCTGCCAATGCAGGGGACATTGGTTCAAGCCCTGGTCCGGGAAGATCCCACATGCTGCAGAGTAGCTAAGCCTGTGTGCCACAACTACTGAGCCTGCGCTCTATAAGCCCGCAAGCCACAACTACTGAGCCCACGTGCCACAACTACTGAAGCCTGCCCGCCTAGAGCCCGTGCTCTGCAACAAGAGAAGCCACCGAATGAGAAGCCCACACACCGCAATGAAGAGTAGCCCCCGCTCGCCACAACTAAAGAAAGCCCACACGCAGCAATGAAGACCCAACGCAGCCAAAAATAAATAAATTTATTAACAAAAGTACAAAACAGGGAAAATAATTTAATATTTTTAACTCAGTATGCCAAAAATATTATCATCTAACATGTAATCAATATAGAAATTAATGAAATAGTTTACATTCTAAGTCTTCAAAATCCAGTGAGTACTTCCTATTTCACATGTCAGTTTGAACTAGCCGTATCTCAAGCGCTCAAAAGCCATACGTGTTGAGTGGCTACCACACTGGACAGCACAGGTCTAGATAATCTTTAAGGTCCTCTCAGCTTTTTGGTCCAGTCAGCATTTTGTGACTATATTTCTAGGAAGCAAAGCAGGAAAAGAAATCATTTCAGATCCTATCTGAGCTTGGTTCTGATTTATTGCCAGTGTTCAGCCAGGGTCTCATTCATTCATTCATTCAACCCATATTTAGAGAACTTGTGTGTCGGGCAGGGCTCTTGCTCTTATGGTGCTTAGTCTTCCTAGGAAGACAAAAAGGCTAAACAAACAATAATAATTCAGTACAGTAAGTGGTGGGCAGTACAAAAGCCCACAGCAAATACAAGGGGGGGATAAAAGGAGAAAGCGCCCCAGGTGAAGCTCCGCTGAGTTTACAATTGTGCTCAACATCGAGGTGTTCCACAAACTCGCCTCAGGAGATGGAGCGACCAGCTCCACAGCTATATCCTCTACTCTGCTGTTAAGCCGGGCTGTGCAGTAGGACTGTTGGAAGAAGGAATTTCATGGCTTAAAAAAAAACCCCAAACTTTCAGGTATTAACTAGCTGAAATCTAAAGGATGAATAAAGTAATCAGCACCCTCTCCCCAACCGAAAAAAGCAGTATATGCCAGAGCTCAGCCAAAATTTCTGTAAAAGACTAGACAGTAAATATACTAGGCTTTTTGAGCCCTAGAGTCTCTGTGGTAATTACTCCACTCTGCTGGATCCAGCCCCTGCAGTCCGTGGTTTACCAATTGCTGGAACATAACTATTAAAGCACCTATTAAATATCCCTATATATTACATAAATATATGTGAATAGGCATTGGGGTCGATTCATAAGGAACTACTTGAATCCATTCTAAAAACTACCTAGGAATTATTTACAATGCTTGTCAAAATGCATTGCCTAAAACATGGACACTGATAACAGTTCGGTATGACTGGGAAATAGTGGCAAGGTGAGGCTGGAGAACTCGGTCGGGAGGATGTTTAACTATGACCTTATCTGCATTTCTGAAAGATCACTATGGCTGCATCAAAGAAAATGGTTTGAAGGGGAGCAAAACTGGAAGCAGGAAGGCCAGTTATAAACTAGGAGGGAGGATAAAGAAAACGTGGCCTATACATACAAAGGATTATTATTCAGCCTTAAGAAGGAAGGAAATTCTGACATACATGACAACATGGAGGAACCATGGAGACATTATGCTAAGTGAAATTCAGTCAGTCACACAAGAACAAACACTGTTAAGATTCTACCCATGAGGTCCCTAGAGTAGTCAAATTCAGAGACAGAAGTAGAATGGTGGTTGCCAGGGGCTGCGGAGGAGGGAATAGGGTATCAGTGATTAATGAGTACAGTTTCAGTTTGGGAAGATGCTAAAAGTTCTGGAGATAGATGGTGGTGATGTCTGCACAACAATGCACTTAAAATGGTTAAAATGATAATATACTTTACCACAATCTGATAAAAAAAGGAAAGATTATCTAAATTAATTATTTAAACTAGTTTATATAAGAAAAAATGAGGCCATTCAGTTTTACACCCTAATAAACATCAGAAAACAATCAGGTTGGGTAAAGAGGTTGTAAATGATACAATGTAGAGGAAAGTGAAAGGGGACTAAATGTAGACTATTTTTTCATTATATAAAAGGAGGAAAAAGCCCTCTCAACTCAGAAAACAATCTTTGATATAAAAATTACAGAGATGGGTAATGTAACAAAGGTAAGCAGAAAAATGAGCCGTAACCCAAACAGAGTAAGCTATCTTATCAAGTTAAGTTTAAATATTTAACTGGTAGAATCAGATCTCAGCTCTCAAACCACCCCTCTGAGTTATCTGACTCTGTTAACCAACTGAATAAACATTTACCAGTGCCTCTTCAAGTCAGGCAACTTTCATTCTCCTTCTTGAATCTCTCTTCATTACCCTTGTTTCTTTACCTCTCCCCTTTCTCTGAGTACACACTCAAAGGATCCCCCCTATGCTCTATCTTCTCCTCTCTCCATCTCCTTTTAAAATTTCACTTACAGCCATAGCTGTGATGTGACTAACTCCTAAATCATTCTCTAGCCCTGAGCACTCTCCAAAGCTCTCACCCAGCATTTCCAGATACTGTGGGAATCTCCACTTAGACATCCAACTGAATTCAGTTCATGCCAAATTGAATTCCATCTATCCTCTTGAATTTATCCCTTCATTTTCTATTCTTTTACTACTACTACTATATTCCCAGTTACACACGCAGCTAGAAGCCTTCAGCCATTTTTGAAATCTCCCTATTCCTTACCACATACCCGATTCATTGCCAAATACTGTCAATTCTATTTCAATAGCTGCTCTTCTCTGCAACTGCTACTTTTAAAAATCTCTACCCTTACTATCCTATATCTAGACCTATTTAAGCTCATCTTAACTGCAAGACTAGTAATTTAAATTGCAAGCGCAAGATGTGTCTATGTCAAAGGATATCAACAGAATTAGTATCATCTCCTAGGGGGAACACTTCAGAAATTTCTAGGGTGGCTTCACTGTCACAATGAGAGGACATTACTGGCATCTACTGGGCAGAGTCCAGGAATGCTGGACATCCTGCAATGTTTGCAGAGCACAAAAAGAATCTGTACTCTATATGACATTCCATAAGGTTCTGTCAGATATTTGTAAGTGAAAATCTTAGTTATCTGACTGAGCCTAAAATCTGTTTTACAAAGAGTATTAGCAGTTTAACTGTATACCTAATTTTCTATGAGTGTAACTACCAGATAAATTGAGGAACGATGTGCTTTCCTGGGAACTCTGCTAAGAGTCTTTCACCATTTGAAAAGATGGCGTCACAGATGATATCTGTGACACAAACACAACATTCTGCATTCACAGCTGTCATGTTCACAGTAATAGTACACATCTGATTACTTTACCACCTTCTAAGCCATGCTTGAGCACGTGTTCAATATGTATTACTTTAAATCACAGTCCTCTTATTTCTCCTCTGGATCAAAGTTTGGGTATTATATTGATTTTTAAAATGTGTACTTATAGATAAGTTACTTCCATGATTTTTACTTCATGATAGGAGAATACTGTAAAATATGTCATCAAAAGAGGACCTGGGTCTGACAGAAACAAGAAACACTAGTTTATCTGAAATGGAAAGCTCTGAACTCGGCCCTTTTTCTCCTCAAAAATCTTTCATAGTTTATAGAAAACTGTCCAAATACATGTTCCTGGCATTCCAGGCTTGTGAAAACACAGCCCAAGCCTATTTCTTCAGATTATAGTCTAGGAGTCTCTCCCTAATTATATTCTAAGATTTCAGCCAATAGGGGTTTTCTTTATTTTCATCCTCCATGCTTCATGCTTGGCCCTTTCGAATGCTGATATTGCTATTGGAAAGCCCTGTGTATCTCAACTCTCCAAAAATCTACACATTCTTCAAGACCCAACATAAACACTGCTCTACTTTCCCAAATGGAAGAAATCATTCCTTCTTCTGAACAACTATATAATTTTATTCCCTCATACAATTCAACAGTATCACTTTTTTGGTTGGTCTCTCTTTTAATTAAGATATAATTGACATATAACATTATATTAATTCCAGGTGTGTAATGTAATGATTTGGTATCTGTATATACTGTGAAATGTTCATCACAGTAAGCCTAGTTAAATATATCATTTGATCATACGTCTTTTATAGCTCTTGTTTTTCCCATTCGAATGTAAGCCAGAGGTCACAACACAGCCACTTACAGGTTGAATATGACCCAACCACAATATTTTAAAATTCTGAATAATACTTAAAAATTAATACTTTTTAAAAAACGAGGGTATTTCACAAAAATTTAGACTTGGAGCTTCTCTTTAAAAGTCAGATCTGACAACTCTGAGCCTGAATCCCACATGGCAATAATTTACTACAGTGGAGCAGCAGCTATCCACTTCAGTGTTTTCTTATTAGCCACAGTTCACACGGAGACTTTTACTTAATCAGGTTACCTTCCTGATCCCAGTGTGTACGTTTTCCGAGGAAAGAACTGCTCTAATTCAGCTATGCATGCCCTCACACAGTCTGTCACACAGTAGGCATTTTATAAATAAATACGTACTGAACAGCACAAAGCACAAGTTTCCTTTCTTACCATTTCAGAAATAAGCAGAATAACTACCTCATTGAATCCATACCATGTTAATTTTTAGTATTATCGATCTTTTTGGTAATACTGTTTTATTGCTTGCTTAAGGGCTAATCTGAGAGTCACTGTAAATTTACTGCCAAATTCAGAATTTCCCAATTTAACCACAGTGAAAATACAAGCTCTTAATTAACAAAGTGATACAAACACATGTTTAATTCTATTAACAAATATTTCTCACTAGTAACAGTCCCAGGAATGCTGCTTTAAACTAATGCTTTGGATCATTTTCAATAAACAAAGCATAATTTTCCATATGCCAACCTGGTGAATTTAATCATACTAAAAATAACATAGCATATAGACCCACCTGGAGAATAATCTTAAAATGCAGGGTTGGGTCCACAGTTATCTGCAGATATTAACTGTCCAGGTAGTTAAAGAATTCAGTGAATGTATTCCATTTACTTCTGTGCCAAGTAACAGGTTTTACGGCATTTTAAATGTGAAGTTTAACAAGAAATTAAAAAAAAAAAGCTGGAATTGGTTCTGAAAATGAGTCAACTGCCAGTATTGACCCAAGTGTGAATAAATGCCAAGCTCAAAGGCAATACGGCATCTTAATCTTTAAAAAAAAATTACCTGCCGGTGATCATGACGCAAAAAGGATACTGAAAAGCCATCACCACAGCTGGAAAAGTACATCAAAGTATAAAAGAACAGATGATGTTGTTCCAGTAATCAGGCTTTTTATAGGACAGGGAAAATAATGTAAGCACAGAGTAATTTCAGGATGGCAAACAAACAAAACCATGAAATGCCTTAAATTTAATGCTTATTTTATAAAACTGACAAAGTGTCTAGCATTTCAGAGAATGTCACCACATGAGAAAATGTACATCCTCAATGAATAAAGAAATGCCATTTTAAAACAATACTGAGAAATCATACCTCTCTTAATTATTAAAAATATTAAAACTGAGTCTAGTAGGACTCTGAGGGAGAAGCAGGTTACTTTAGACTTTGCTGTGGGCATAGCATCAATCCAATATATCTGGAAAGGACACTTAAGAGGAGCTAGAAAATCATTCAGACGTCTGGATCTTGTGATTCTACTCTGAGGCTTCTGCTCCAAATAAATAATTCAAGGGGAAAAAAATAATGCAAACAAAAATATTCATAAAAATAGAAACAACCTGAATATGCATAATATGGAAATGGCTAAATAATTATGATATATTTACACAAAGGAATAGTATATACTTTTAAAAATGACAACTATGTAATTTAGGTAATACTCAAATGTTTATCAGAAATCATCCTGGATGATTTCTAATCATCCAGAACATGAAGTATCCCTATACTATATATATTACATACGATGGAAATGAATAGGCATTGCTATCATTGATTAAGAACTGCCTAGAGCCATTCTAAACTTTGCTTGAGAATTATTTACAACACCTATCCAAATGTATTGCCTAAAACATAGGCACTAATTATAATCACATGTAGAAACACATGCCCATTATAATTGGAAGATACATATAATTCTAATTTTAATGATTACATTTGTTATAAAAAGTTACCTAACTACTTGCTTAGTTTTAAAATACCCAACTGTCTTCATTCCCATGCCCAAACTCTTCTAATTCTTCTCACCACAGGATCTTAGAGCAAGAGAGAAATATCTCCTTTTCCATATTTTACAGACAAGGGAATAAACACAGAGAGGTTACATAATTCTTCCAAAATGACCTATTTGCTAGGACTAGACAGCAACTTTTCTGTTTTTTCCCCTAAAATCATAGCTGATAGGAAAAAAAAAAAAAAAACCCAACATGGAGGACTGTACATGGAAGAAACGCACAGAAACAAGTAGAGCTTTCTGACACACATCACGTTTAAAAAAATGTCTGGAGCTTTCTTCTCATAAAATTTTATAAAAATAATTGTCTTCTCAGAGTGAAAAAGGATAAAGAGGAGAAAAACCAGTCAGGGATGGAGGGATAATGCCATTATAGATATCTTATATAATTAACAATTGCCATTCTCAAGCCTGAGGAGTATTTTGTTCTATTTGTAAGATTACACTCTATGAAATGCAAAAAAAAGTTCCAGGCTCTCTTACCTGTACAGAGGAGTCCATCTTTGTAGTAAAGTGCATACACTCTGGCACTGTGTCCAATTAATGATGAGGTCTCAAAGGCTTCATGGTCCTCCAGTTGCTTCATTCTCAAAATAGCCTTCAAATAAACCTTCTTCCAGTGCAAAGCGTCCTGAACAGAATCATCTATCTGCCAGCCCAAATTTTTACAGGCAGTCTGCCACACCTCTGTACAGGCACTTATCACCTTATTCCATTGTTTAGAGACGAGGCAGCATGTGAGTAAAGTCTGAGGATCGAGCCATTTTAACAAATAAAAACTGAGCTCCAGGGGAAGGAGTTTGAGGAAGTCCCGCTTGAGGAGAGTCTCCAGGTTATTGGAGAGATGCCTGAGCTGGACTGCCCCACTCAGACTAATCAGGTGATCCAGAGTTTCATTTTTCTGCAAGTCCGTCAGAGAAAGAAATGTAACAGAAATGTTATCAAGCCATGTCTCAAAGTCCTTTCTCTCCATAAGGTTATGGAAAAATTTACCTGTGGCACATCAAAATATTGTATTAGTTCTGCTCAAAATGACCGTTCAAGCAAGACTGCTAACAAATGAAGTATTAAAAATTAGTGTAAAAAACTTGGCATTACAACATTATGCTTAGTTACATTACAACTTTACAGTTAATACACTGTATTTATCTGAAAAATTTCCATGCACACAAAAGAAAATACATTTGTGAAATCATACTTTAACAAATCGTGACCTCCAAAACATAACTCAATGAAATTTATGCTGGTGTGTGCGTGATTTGCTCCTTTTGGAATCTAGCACATGCTACATGCATCTTCACAGTAAAAGATTTACAGAGTATTCATTCCTTATTAAACAGTGTATTCTATACAATGGAACCCCCATCAAAACCATCATAATACCATTTCCTTAATACACTCTCTTTGGGCACTAAAATCACAAAAATAAGCACAAGGACGTGACAACCAGAAAGCAAGTCTCCGGAGCAGTAATTTGAGACATTGGTCATCATGCTAGGTACAACGTGACCTGTTATTAGCATCACAGAACTGACTACTGGCTTTTGCAATAGATATTCAGGCAAAAAAGTTTGGGGAAGAAAAATAAGCAGATGCAGTAAGTTATACGGCTCATGTATTCTGGTTCTTCCACTTCCTTTATGGCACTGCCTGTTATAACGTGAATTACCAAAGGCCTTATCTGGCCTTACATAGTCTGTTTTTATAAGCCTCATATGAGCTGGTGACAACTCTTAACTTCATGTACCCCCAGAGAGCCATGAGGGTCCTGGAAGCCTGCACAAATAAGACAAATTAGTAATTCTGATGCTTAAAAAGCACCCAAAGAAAGGGACCATCATCTTTACTTTGCCGATGAGGAAGCTGCAGGTCAGAGAAGGTAAGTGATTTGCCTACAGCCAACAGAGCAGACTGAAAGCCAGTGCTCTCAAGATCAGTACTCTTCTAAACACACCAAGTGTCTCTCTCTGAAGCCAGCTACCACCAGGAGAACTGCAACCTGGTGGTAAAATCTGGGAGCACCGAGCCTGATTATATACCACCTTCCCCTTTAGGGCTAAATACCAAAAAAAAAAATTTACAAGTATCCAGCAAAACATACTATGTCAAGGTGTCAACACACTCTTAACAATGGGGACTAAACTAACAGGAAGAGAACAAAAAATAAAGCAAATCACGTAAAAACCATCTTTCCCAAGATAGGCCATGTTGGTAGATATTAGTGCTGGGTGATGGGTACAGGATTTTTATTCTATTTTCATATGTTGAAACATTTCAATGATTAAAAAAAGAATAAAAACTTTGCTTCTAATCTGATCCCTCAGTTTCCTATCAGATTATCATACTAATTTAAAAACTTTATGTCCAAATTAAGGGCTTCCCTGGTGGCGTGGTGGTTAAGAATCCGCCTGCCAATCCAGGGGACAAGGGTTCAAGCCCTGGTCCCGGAAGATCCCACATGCCACGGAGCAACTAAGCCTGTGCGCCACAACTACTGAAGCCCGTGCGCCTACAGCCCATGCTCCGCAACAAGAAAAGCCACCGCAATGAGAAGCCCTTGCACCACAACGAAGAGAAGCCCCCGCTCACCGCAACTAGAGAAAGCCTGAGCGAAGCAACGAAGACACAATTCAGCCAAAAATAAATAAATAAATAAAATAAATTTATTAAAAAAAAACCTTTATGTCCAAATTAAGGTAGAAGAGGAAAATAAAACTCCTTTCCATATATGTCACCTAGATCAATGTTTACACAAATATCCAGATCTCATCGTCCAACTTTGTTAATGTTAAGGTATGTAAAAATCATTTTCATTAATTTCCCAATATCAAATTTGGTGGGAATGTTATCAGACAAAAAGCAGTCAAAGCAAATAAACCTATTCCAATCACATCATCTGTTGTCTAATATTTTTGAACAGTGAATGGACTTTAACCCTCAGGGTTTGGGCTAGGTAGGATTTACTAATTTAAGGATTTATTTGGCTGCCAAAAAACGATGATTTCACCAAGTTTTATCAACTTAACACAAGATAACAAGCCTCCTGGGACTTCCCTGGCGGTCCAGTGGTTAGGACTCTGCGCTTTCACTGCCAAGGGCCTGGGTTCGATTCCTGGTCGGGGAACTAAGATCCCATGAGCCACTCTGCGCAGCCAAAAAACAAAACAAAACAAACAAACAAAAAACAAAAATAACAAGCCTCCTCCTTTTTCTGTATCCTAACAATCTTTTATCTATAAAATTTCTGGAAAAGTTTTACTTTAAAAAAATCATTCATAGCAAGACCAAAAAACAAAGTTTCTGTGGACATTCACAAAATGTCACAACAGCTAATTAGTTAACACTGGCCAATTAAAAACATAACCAAAACATCTGCCCAGGCATCATTTTTTACAGTGAAGAAGCAGGGGGGCTTCCTCTATCTCACCTGCACAGCCACACACAACACAGTATGCCACAGGTCCATCACAGAAACTCTGACATTTATGTAAGATGAACTGTTATTTAAATGGACACAATGCAAATTTATAATACCCGTGAAAACAATATCATTACCAAATAACTAAGAGACATCATACAGCATGCCAAATCAATGTACCCGTGACACTACAGAGATTATGGGACGAGTTTTCCAATGAGCACCTTTAAAAACCCAGCCATTTCTGATATTTATATACTCTCCTAACTCCTAATAAGAATTTTTCTTCCCACTCTTACATTAGAAATTGCCCTTTAAGCTACTGAACCCTTTACGGGAGGCTCTTTTCCAGTTCTTCATCTTTCACTGTCATGAAAAAGGCATCTTTTTAAAATAAAGCAGGCCCCATTAACTTTGCAGAATGCACTATTAAAAAAAAAATCAGCTTTTGTTTCTCTAAAAAATTGAACTGACTCTGGAGAGAACTTTCTTAAGGTCACAGGTCTAAACTGAACTCTTAGAGAGCCTCTAGGAATATCATGTACTGGCAGCAAAGGTCCCATGGGGAAAACTTCAGGAAGTGGGATTTCAATTCAACTGAAGGAGGAGCTTTTAAAACACCAGAGCTTTCCAATAATGGAACAGCTGCCTCCGGAGTGGTGAGCTTCCCATTACTGGGAATGGTCAAGGACAGCTGGATACAGAGGCAGAATGAGGTAAATGAAAATGCTTTGGAGCAGTCAAACCTTTTACTGATTCAGCCACTTCCTCTGTGATCATGGACATGTTCAACTAACTTCTAAGCTTCCGTTTTGTCCTCTGTAAAATGGAAGCTAGCTCACCTTGAGGGCTGTGAGAATCAGGACCAGAGTAGGGACATGCCTAGCACAGAGCCCTTCTAAGTTTTATTACTATGAATACCTGGCAGGAAAGCTCCACGAACATCCCTTTCAACCCTATGACATTACCACAGTTTATCTTAAGATGGCTTAAAATATACAGACCAAAAAACTCAAGTGCTCAAACTTACTAGGAATTTAATTTTATAATGAAGGGCAGTTACTAACTTGAGGCTATGATTTCCCACTAGATGCATTTTCTCTCCACCCTCTCCACACTCCATGGTGTCTCATCCTTTTTTTCCCCCTCACTTAAGACTAAACATTAAACTTGCCCTTCGGCAAGACTGTCAATAGTAACAATCACAAACCTCTGAAACAGATGGATGATGAAAAGATTCCTAAACTGGGAGATGGGAGACCTGGGTTTGGTCTCTGGTTCTGCCATTAACTCCCTATGTTCCCTTAGGCAACTCTCATCTTTTTTTTTTTTTTTTTTTTTTTTATTAACTTATTTGTATGTTTATTTTTTTTTGGCTGTGTTGGGTCTTCGTTTTTTTTTCTGCGCGAGGGCTTTCTCTAGTTGCGGCAAGCGGGGGCCACTCTTCATCGCGGTGCGCGGGCCTCTCACTATCGTAGCCTCTCTTGTTGCGGAGCACAGGCTCCAGCTGAGCAGGCTCAGTAGTTGTGGCTCACGGGCCTAGTTGCTCTGCAGCATGTGGGATCTTCCCAGACCCGGGCTCGAACCCATGTCCCCTGAACTGGCAGGCTGATTCTCAACCACTGCGCTGCCAGGGAAGCCCAACTCTCATCTTTGTATTGGTTTGACAGACAAAAGTACTACTCATAGATATTACCTCACTTGATTTTCACAACCTCGTGGAAGATATCAGAACTACCCTTAACTAATAAATGAGGAAATTTATGGCCCCAAAGGTGGAGTGACTGTCCCAGGGTCCCACAGGAAGGAGCAGGTGCAACATCTTTCCCAGCCCCCACACTCCAAAACCAAAACCAAACCAAACCTATACTCCCAGGTCTTACTAAAGATACAACATTCTCGATTAAACATGATGAATGCATTTTCCTCTCCTCCATCAGGACCCGGCCTAATCAAGAGAGAAAGCAAGACACTTGTTGTCCTTGGCTTCATCTTCCCGCTCTTTTCTTATTAAGTATAGCCAGGAGTTTAAGAGTACAGAGGCTCTGAACTTATCTAAATGAACTTACATACTTATATTCCGAATATTCAAGAAGCTAGTAACACTGGTTGCTTCCAGAGAATGCTGGAGGGCTGAGGAATAGGGCTGACGGTCCCTTTATGAATTTAAAACCGTGTGAATATCCGTTCTATGTAAATCCGCCTTCAGTTTTAAGATGAATTTTTAAAAGCCTTGAAAGAATACAAATAGTGTTTCTAAAATAAGGGCTCTGCAACCCCACTTGTTGCTGGGTGACCCTGGGCAAATCGCTTCACCGATCTCAAGCCCAGTTTCCTCACTTATAAAAGGTAACCACGAACAGGTAACCCTACAAGGGTTTTTACGAGGAATAAACAGGATAATGCACTTAAAACGTTTAGCACAGTACCCGCACACTGTAAGCCTACAAGAAATGCCGATTACCATCATTATTCAGCATTAACATTGTTATCTTTATTGCCAGCAGCACTACACATAACACACCTGTTTCCATGGCATACCCACAATTATGGCGCAGTCCCTCACATTACTATAGCGCTTTATACTTCATAAACCACCTCTCCACACTTCATCATCTTTCAAACTCATGGCAGCCCTGGGACATGACTGTTAACTCATTTCGAAGCTAAGGAAACTGAGGCACTAGGAGGCAGTCACTCCGAGACTCAATTCTCCCATCTCTAAAATCAACTCCAGATCCCTTCAACCCGTTCGTCGCTCCCCGGTCCCCTGCTCCCGGAGCCGTGTTCCGCGCGGCACTGACCTGAGCGAGCGCCCCGGGGCCCGGGACCTCGCGCCGAGCTCACACCGACTAGGCGCGCTCGGGCCGCCAGAGCCTCGCAGCGGCCGGATCCGCTCCGCAGCCATGGCGCCTGCAGGGAGAGAAAGACAAACAGCCCGAGCCGCGGCGGGTCAGCAGAGGCGCGGGCGCCAGGCAACCCCCTCCCCAACCCGGCCCCGCCTCATATACACACCTGGACCTGCGGCCGCGCTCGGAGTCCGCAGCCTCACAGGGGAGCGGCTTCCGGTGCTGCCTACGTCATCTCCGCGCGTCCCTCCACCCGCGGCGCCGGGCAGACGCGGCTGCACTTCCGGCCCCGCCTTAAAGGGGAAGTGGGAGAGCTGAGGAGCGTAGAGGGAGGCGGAGCATGCGTAGGTCCGCTTAGACCTGTGGCACATGGACCAAAGTTTACTTCCAGGCTGTACACACGAATTTGTGCCGCAGGTTTATGTCCGTCATCCAATCTGATCTTGCACCGACTGTGCGGCACTTTTTCTTATTATGCTTACTTTACGGAGGAGAGAGGGAGAATTTAAGAGACGTGTCCAAAGTCAAACAACGCATAGACATAACATTTATATAGACAATAAGACACCCGTATGTCCAGTTAGTGGTAGAGCACATCTAGGGTACTTGAAACGTGGGAAATAAAAAGTTGATTCTTTGTGGTGGAAACTAAACATGGAGTCCAGAAAGGTCTCAAGAGAGCAGATTTGATTCGGTAGGCAACAGGAAGCCTCTGTGAACTTCGAAGCCAGAGAATGACTGATGACAACATTACAAGAAAATTTAGGAAGACATGGGTACACAGATTGGATGAACTTTATGAAAGAAAAGGCAGTGCTAAGGTAATCAAGAAAACCAGGCACCCCTACCTATTTGCAGCAAATGGTCTCAACCCCAGGATGGTAGGAGTTCGATGAATGAAACTGAAAATTCCAGATGGAGCTGCCCCAGAGACAACATTGTTTCAACCTCTCATGGACAAAGAAACCAAATTGTCTAAGTTTAAGCCCAGAGGCTATCCAGGAGCAAAATTTATGGCTCATTAAAAAATGAAAAGAAAATTGCAAAACAGAATTTGTATTTAATTAAATCCAACACCTGTGTAACCATTCAATTTAGTATATGTAAAAATTCCCTTTCATTTGAAATTTTTTTAGGATATATATTCCCACTTTGTAAAAATCTCCAAGATTGCACAATGATTGTTGAGAAAACATAGCCAACTTTAAAATGTAATGAATTATTCCTAGCCAAACAACTACAAAAACTGCTATGAATGGCAGGTAGGAAGATCGACACACAAAAAGAAAAACCATGAAATATGGCCCGGCGTAGGAACAGAATGTTCATTACAACTGTTTATGTGACAGGAACATAAAAATATGCTGGATGTTTTTTCTTTCCTTCCTTCCTTCCTTCCTTCTTTCTTTCATAAACTTGCTGCTCAAATGGTATTTGGAGTAATTCCTACACATTCATGCAATAGGAAAATTGCAAACATCAAATGCTTAGTTTCTCTGACTCAGGCTAAAATGGACTACACGTTGTTTTCCATTTTGAGATAAAGTTGCCTGGGAAAGGTAGATGGATGACATATAATTTATTTAGGAATGTTCTTCCATGGCCTATACTAGGAATTCAAAATCCTTCTTGATGAGACATAAACCAAACCACAGCATAAGTTTCTTTGGGTAGAAAAAAAATGCACCCACTAGGGATGACAAGTATCCCTTGATATTTAACACATTTGTTGCATGTGCAGGTACCAGGGAGCAGAAACTACTCCAAGTGTTTAGTTTCTTGAGATGCACTCCTTCTGTGATGATGCTATGGAGAGATGATATGGGTGAACTAACTGTTCTTTCAATTCCCACACACATTTCACCAGGCACTTCACCAGGGTCATTTTCAAGAGGTAAATAAGGTTGGAAGCATTTGAAGAGGTTTGCTTTCTAGTCTTTGTTCTGGATTCACTGTAGCTGTAACATGATCAGCACTTGCTGTCCTATGGAGCCAGCAGGTATTCTGGGACAAAAGCTCAGGTTGATTGACAAGAAACCTTATCCTTAAAGTCTCAGGCACAAGGTACTGTACCTCAATTGCTGTTAGACTGAGTGATCCTGAGATACATTTGGGCATACTTTGGCATCTGGACTCAATAATTTCCAAAGCCCTGAAATCGTTCACAGACAACATGCAGGCAAGTTTCTTATAATCTTTGAAGCATTTTATATCTATTAAAATAAGCTTTTAGTAGGCTGAAGTTTCTTCTGTGTGTAAATCATCAGAACGGAGAAAATGGAAAGGAGTTCAGATTATAATTGTGAGAGTTTGTTTTGATTTGTTAGTTTTTCCGATTCAATAGACACGGGAAAGTAAAAGATGGAACTCAGGATTCTCTAGTGGTTAAGAGTGAGCTTTGAAATCTGACAGATTTGAGTTCAAATCATGGCCCTACCTCACCCTCTTATTCACTGAGAGATCTTGGGCAAATTCCTATACTGCCTGTATGCTCAGCTTAAGTTTGAAGATAACATATCTGAAAGGGATATTACCAGGGCTGAATGAGTTCAGGCATGTAAAGTGCTTAGCACAGTGCCTTACCCCCAGCAAGCGCTCAGAAAGAGATGTGTCATTAGGGAGTTTTTGTTGATTAAAATCCAATGAATAGAGATTTAATTCCTCCAATGTCCCCTGGCTCTGTTATATTGCAATACTACATTGTATATGCTCTTCCAGATGGAAAGTTTCCATCTCCTTTGATGCGGTGGAGTAAGCTTGGCACAGGTATGTCCTAGATCTCTGAAGAGGTGCTATACAGATAGCAGAAATCTGCCCATATTGATAGATGGATTAGGGGACATTGTCAAAACATATCAGAATTTATTGTTAAATTGAAAAGTCATACTAGAAGAATGTAAATGTTTGATAGTAGCCATTGTTCAGTGGCCAAAAAAAGCTAACACTCCATTGAAAAACAGCCCTTGACCTTTGTAGTTAGAGAAGAAACTGATCCAAGTGCTTCAATTCCAGAAAGAATATCATATATTTTCCTGTAGGCTTTTAGCACAATGGCACCTGTTACTTTATATCCATGTGTCTATGTCTGATTTCTCTTTGCTTCCCCAGTGTCTAACACAGTGCCTTGTATATAATAAGTAGGCTTTCCTCCAAGCAAGAAAACAACCAACATTTTATTCATGATGCCTGCTGTCCAGGGGGCCATGATATAGTGGGAGAGACAGATAACAGAACTAAATAATAAACACTTAAAACAGTGTAGCGCTAAGTGTTGTGAGAGGTACATATAGTGTTCAGTGGGGACAAAACCAGAAATGGAGATGAAGCTTGAATGTGTGTTCTTTTATTTAGGTGACATTCTGCAGACTTCGGACTCACCAGTGGTGTTTCATTCTGTTTAATGTTATTCTATTTCATGCCTTGCTTTTTGGGGCTGATTTTGTGGAAGAATATTTTCTGCATGCTTTGCCTTATATAGATATGAAAGTTCTTGAAATTAAGGATAAGGCAAGAAAATTGAACATGGAGCCCCTAAGAAGTAATCTTTCCAAATACTATATCCTGAGCCAGTCGGAGGTGTGTAAAGGGAAGAACATATTTTTGCTCTCTCTTATCTTCAGTAGCCCAGGAAATGGAACAAGGCGGGACCTCATCAGGAAAACCTGGGGTAACATGACCAGTGTCCGAGGGCATCCCATTCTCACACTGTTTGCTTTGGGAATGCCTGTTTTGGTGACTGCCCAGCAAGAGATAGACAAAGAGTCCCAAAAGAATAATGATATAATTGAAGGAATCTTCTTGGACAGTGCTGAGAACCAAACTCTGAAGATTATCACCATGACGCAGTGGGCTGTGACTTTCTGCCCTAACGCCCAGTTCATTCTCAAGGTTGATGAAGAGATGTTTATCAATCTACCAAGCTTGGTAGACTACCTCCTCAATCTGAAAGAACACCTTGAAGATATCTATGTAGGAAGAGTTATCCATCAGGATACACCCAACAGAGACCCTAATAGCCAAGAATTTGTCCCTTTCAGTGAGTACCCAGAAAAGTACTACCCAGATTACTGCAGTGGTGAGGCCTTTGTTATGTCCCAAGATGTGGCTCGGATGATGTACGTAGTTTTCAAAGAAGTCCCCATTATGGTGCCTGCTGATGTGTTTGTAGGAATCTGTGCTAAATCCATTGGCCTAATACCCATACACAGTTCAAGGTTTTCTGGGAAAAGCCACATCAGATACAACAGATGTTGCTTTAAGTTCATTTTCACATCCTCAGAAACTACAGATGCTGAAATGTCCCTGGCATGGAAGGAAATTAACAGTGGGAAAGAATGTACACTGTTTGAAACCTACTATGGGCTCATTTCCTGCAAACTTCTGACATACCTTGACAGCTTTAAACTTTTTCACATGGGTACCATAAACAATAATGTCATGTATTATGGTGATTAGGATTTCTTTGTTTTTCTTAAAAGTGTGTTCTTTAAAAATTACCTCCTACCTTGTTACAGAAAGTGTCCCTCCTTCCTTGTGTTTTATGCAGTTTCTCTGAATCTTTGATTGTACTCAGCAGGTTGCAGTGTTCTTAGTGCTCTGATGTACTACATTGAATTGAGATCTCATTTTAAGAAATTTAAGTTGGTATAGCATGATTCTTTTCAAAATAATACCTTCTGTCTAGAAAAGAGAGAACATTAAATTTAATTATAACCAAGAGTCTTGTTTCTCTTTACAATTAATGGATTTCTAAAAATCACATTCTATGGAACTGTCATGACTCAGTGATAGCAGCTGTGACTGATTTTTGAGAATTCTCAGAATTAAAGGAAAACACTAAATAAGGAATGTAACAAAATGTTCATCTTGTCTGTAAGATGAAGCATTTTAGTACTCTGGGTGGTGGAATTACACTTAAAAGTTTTAGCTACCTAGTATATATTAACTTAAATCTCACTAGTGTAAAGACTTGGATCTCTAATTTTTTGTGAAACAATTTTCATCAAGTCCTAATTAGGCAGTATTTTACAAATGGGATACAACAAATACACATTTCATGTTATGTATACACTCTATTAGTTTCCTAAAGATGCCTAACAGAGTACAAGAAACTAGGTGGCTTAAAACAACAGAAATTTAGTGGTATTAGCAGTAGGAAAATGGCCCATATGGAAAGATGGAAAAAGGGGACTCACGGATACCAGAGATGGAGGAACAGAGATGA